TCATTTATCATTATTGGTTTGAAACAATGTGGTAGAAACGTGTAACCTCTAGAGGCTAATTAACTTCTTGTTTAGTATGTTTCATAATATATAAGATATTTTCTCCCGTTTTGTTTGATTTGTTTTATTATTTAACTCTAAACCACACCAGGTCAGTCGCCATTTTAGTCATCATTTATGCCCCTGCACTAATAACAAGCAAAACTCGGACAGCAGTATGATGAAAATGACCACCAGATTGGTGACATTTAATTTATTAATATCAATAGAGCCACACTAGGGCTCTTAGCATAAAATCAATAATATAAGGAAAATTACATGAAAATTTGAATAACCCAGTAGCTGTCACCACACACGCATGGCAGTCACTACTACAAACTATAACAGCTAGCCCAAGTGGGGTTGCCAAAAAACGCCAAACATTGATCAATGGTGGGGTTGTCAAACCCATCTTTATATGATTACTGCGAGCCGGCTGCCCCAACCCTGTTAATAAGGGGAGGTAGGTTTACCCAATGCTCTGACCAGTCGGCAAGTGTTGTCTCACTTCAACATCAACTAGAAACAACCTGCCAGGTTACAAATTAAAAACATCTAATGGTACACAGTACATAGTAATCTTGGACAATGTTAAACACTATATCTGTACTTAAAACAAAGAAACAAAATATTGACGACAGAAAGGGTGGGAAGAGGTGGGTTTACAAATTAATAAATGAGCATACAAATACAGTTGCTGTCAGATGCGGGATATGTCCCAGAGTGAGATAGCGTCACCTCTGACTCCTTGACCAATCAGTGACCAGCCTCAGAAACCCCGACGCTGTCATCGGCAGCCAATCATTGAACCGTTTATTGTGCCAACAATTCAAGCTCCGAAATTAAAATTAAAATAACAGTAAATCTACAAAACCTGTTATGAAGTTACGAGCATAAATTAAGGTAATTTCGTAGCTGCCTTATATTAGATGGATGGTAATAAACAATTTATTTTGAAAAGACAAATCTTCAATTTTTTTATGAAAACAGAAAAAAAAATGAATTCCTTGAAATACACGGAACTTTTATCTGCAGTGATAAAATCTTTAGTAAATTGTACACCGTTCTCTTGAATAATGATCAGATCAACTACAAGCAATGTGGATAGTTTAGGTGGAATGACGGCTGAGGAAACAAGAGCTGATTGAGTAAGTAGGTACTGTACTAAAAATCTCGAAAACTATAAGACTGGACTAACTTACTTGAAGGTTGTGAGAATTTATTATAAGGTTTTGAAAACTTTGGACACTGCTGGATCAAATGAATCCAGCATTAAAAAAATGAACCACCGCAGAAATCTATAGAATTCATATCTATCTATTTATATTCTATAAAACATGCATATGCAAGAAATGAGATCCTAAAAAATTAGGGGACACCCGGGTTCGAACCAGGGACCCCTCGATCTGCAATCGAATGCTCTACCACTGAGCTATATCATTATAAGGTTTTGGAAACTTTGGACACAGCTGGATCTAATGAACACATCATTCATAAAGTCTACCACTGCAGTAATCTGTAGAGTTCATATCTATCTATTTATATTATATATAACATGTATATGGTAACAAGAGAAGTAAGAAATGAGATTCCAAAAATTTAGGGGACACCCGGGTTCGAACCAGGGACCTCTCGATCTGCAGTCGAATGCTCTACCACTGAGCTATATCCCCTTCTTATCTTATAAGGAGACCAAACAGAATATAAGTTTGATGCAATATGCTATCTAACTCTTATACTTGAAATGTTAATCAAAACTATGTTATCAGTTGAAGTGTCTGAAAATAATCAGTATAATTGGTAAACTATTTATTAATTAAGTTATGTCATAGGTCATATCTGCGAAGATTGATTGTTAGATTCGTCTTGATAATTCTTTTTTTGAAATTTATTAAGTCCAGCATTTGAATGATTTTAGATTTATAAAGAGGTACAGATTATGATAAGGTTAATAGTATTTTACCTTATCGATTTTTGTTTACAGTGCTCATACACAATCATAATGTGTCTGAGTATTGTTCAATATGACGTACTATACACGTGTCAACTTCTAGTACACAATACGTTTATATATACATAGTCAACCTTTCAATACGTTGGAAATCGTACACAGGTTGCCTGCTGACGATGCACATCGTAATCTATAAATACAGCTTATTATGACGTCATAATCGTAGACAAGTCGTAGTTATAATAATTCAATTACATGATTCTAATTTAAAGCATTAATTATAGATTCAAACATTATATTGGATTATTTAACAGGTGGACTTTCCAGGAACAAATTATTTGTTTTTGATTGTTGACAGCTCCACACGTTTTATTAGCTGATGTTTCGATGTTATTGTTTATCAAACTATATCATTAAACATTTTATAATTTACGTATATAATGAGAATATAATATATTATGCATGTGTGATTCGCCTTGGCGGAACACAATAGTTTTTAAGTGTACATAGTATGAAACTTTTCATTTGAGTAATAATTAATATCAGCCCCTTAACAGTTAATGTAACCTCCCAGAGATGTTCAGTTTGAGGTAAGATAACAAAAAGATAGGGGACACCCGGGATCGAACCAGGGACCTCTCGAATTGCAGTCGAATGTTCTACCACTGAGCTATATCCCCATTTACATGTTAATAGTAAACCAAACCAAATAAGTTAATTTCATTTTTCTGACGCAATATGTCCTACACAATGAAATAATAATCCATAAATATCTCTGACTGTAATAACTAAAGCTTACACAAGTCAAGGTTCTAATTAATGAATTATTTATCATTATTGGTTGGAAACATTTTAGTAAAAACGTGTAACCTCTAAAGGCCAACTAGCTTCTTGTTTTGTATGTTTCATAAGCTATACAAGATATTACTCTCCCATGTTGCTGGATGGTGGTTTTATTTGTAACTATATACCACACCAGCTCATTCGCCTCTCCATTTTAGTCATCATGTATATATTAGATGGTAGTATAAGTTGCAATATCAAATTTTGTTTGAATAGACCAATTTTCAAATTTTATATGAAAACAGAAAAATATGAATTCCATGAAATAAAGGTACACCGTTCTCTTGAATAATGATCATATCAACTAAAAGCAAGGTTGATAGTTAAGGTGGAATGACGGCTGAGGAAACAGGAACTTATTAAGTAAGTAGGTACTGTACTAAAAAGCGAGGAAACTATAAGAATGCACTTACTTACTTGAAGGTTGTGAAAAATCTCAATTGGTCTCAACAAGAAAACGTTGTACCAACATTAATATATTATAAGGTTTTGGAAACTTTGGACACAGCTGGATCTAATGAACACAGCATTCATAAAGTCTACCACCGCAGTAATCTGTAGAGTTCATATCTATCTATTTATATTATATATAGCATGTATATGGTAACAAGAGAAGTAAGAAATGAGATTCCAAAAAAATTAGGGGACACCCGGGTTCGAACCAGGGACCTCTCGATCTGCAGTCGAATGCTCTACCACTGAGCTATATCCCCTTCATATCTTATCAGGAGACCAAACAGAATATGAGTCTGATACAATATGCCATCTAACTCTAATACTTGAAATGTTAATTAAAACTATATTATCAGTTGAAGTGTCTGAAAATAATCAGTACAATTGGTAAACTATTTATCAATTAAGTTATGTCATAGGTCATATCTGCATAGATTGATTGTTTGATTCGTCTTGATAATTCAATTTGAACATCAACATCCAATATGTTTGAGAAGTAAGAAATAAGGTGCCAAAATTGAGGGGACACCCGGGTTCGAACCAGGGACCTCTCGATCTGCAGTCGAATGCTCTACCACTGAGCTATATCCCCTTCATATCTTATCAGACAACTAAAATCAAATATATTTATGATGCAATAGCCCTCTTACTCTAATTATTGTATGAACTAGGAACGATATATGTTAAACAAACAGAAAATATTAGTTGAATTTTCTAGTATGAATTATACTTACATTATAAGAATAACTGGTCAGCTTTTTTTTAATTCATGTATGTCATAGATCATATCTGTATAGATAGATTGTTAGATTCGTCTTGAATTTTATTTTTTTCGTAAATTTGATTTATCAATGAATTGGAAGTGTTGTGTATATATAGAAGAACAGATCATGATGAAACTGACAGTGTTATATGTTGTAATCGAAGTTTTGTTCATTGACGTATCAATTTGTATTTATAGTGTATTATTTAGTAAGGCATTCTATACACGGATCAACTTCTAGTATACAATACTTATAAATAGTCACCCACACTTTCCATGCATCGGAAATCGTACACAGGTCGTCTGCTGACGAGGCCCATCGTAATCTATAAATATACCTGACTGTGACGTCACAAATCGTACACCAGACGTATTTCTACCGTATATAAATATCTATGAACCAGCTGGTAGGTGGACATACAGGACAGGATGGTGTGGACACAGAGGTATGTATACCATACTGCTACATGTAAATGGAATTAACACACTTGTTATGCTGCGTTCGACAAACATTTGATTACTATACATTTTTATAACGATACTCATTTTATTCTATTTGTTGTATCACGTTAGAACTCATATGAAAAATACAAAAGTACGTCTAGATTCTTTGGATTTTATTAAAAGAATTTCGATATAACTTTCTCAATTCCACACTATTGTTTCACAAAGGATTAATGTTTGGCCTTTTCTATTTTGTCTTAAATCTACGTTTTATCTTTGTTTCGGTGATACATTTACCAATATATACTTTTTAAGTATGATAGCATATATTTTTCAAATTTTGTGGTATTTCACAGATCAAATTCATTTTGATTTTTTCTTTATTATTATTGATATATTTATTTCATGTCTAAAGTCTTCTTTTTTTTGGTTATAAGGTAGAGGTGTTATAATCAAATAATCTTTTTATTTGACACGTAAGTCTAAAACGTATGGCTAACATTTCAGAAGTGTCCACCAGATGGGGCCCGTGGTCAGGACAAACATTTGAACTCCTCGGATTCGTAAATAGCCACACCCATTTTAACAACGATAAAGGGGAAGTGAGCTATGACGTATTTGGGTTCAAAGGTCACACGGGAACCTCCTGTTTCTGTCGAAGTGTGTCCCGACCCTTATACCGGCGGGGAAGGGACATTGTGGATTGGGTTAAGATGACTAAAGTGACTTGTGTTACGGGAAATGTGATGGACTATGATATAGGGAAAACGGAAGTAAAGAAAATAAATGGGAAAGAGGAGGATGAAATAGAAAACGATGAGGAAGTCGAAGATGAAGACATTCACGATCCAGAAAGCTGACAGGATTGAAATAATGAGTGTATTACGCTAAACGGTATACATATCACACGAGGTTATGCTTCAGTGATGTAATCCTTTGTTCATAATACGATTGACACGTGTTTTAACGACTACCTGTACAGTTGTACACGTTCAAAGTGTTTAAGTAGTTTGACAACAGGATATATGTCTCAAAGGACACGGTAACAGCCTAAACCTACTGAAGATATTTTACATCAATACACTTCCACTTAAACCGTCTGAAGATAGGAAGCCTTGAAGATGAAGAATATGGCATGTAGAGCCATTGACAACTAAGTTAGATCAGCTATGAACTGGTACAAAGAAAATGTAGAACCAATAACCAAAACTGTTTTAAATGTTGATGCTTGAAATCATAGTAACGAAACAGATCAAACGCCTGGTTGTTCAGGAGCCTTTACATCTTGAAGGCAATATTAAAATTTGAACTTAGGGAGATAGAAGAGTAACTGTATCGTGAATTCAAATCGGAAATACAAAAAAATCCAAACCCTTCACATCAGCAAAGTACGTAAATATGTACTATGTGGGAAATTCGAACATCTGGAAAAAGAAAAGAAACTGTCATAAATTCCAACTGGAAAAAAACAAAAACATTTATAATCGTCTACGTACGTAACCTGTGTACTCGTTAGAAAAATCGGACATCTAGAGAAAGCTACTTTCTTAAAAACTTGGAAAGCAAGGACCGAACATTTAACATCGACTTTGAACATAACGTGTGAACTTGATAGAAGAACTCGATTGTCTAAAGAAAGAATATGTATGTATTACCAATTGAAAATGGAAAAACATGAAGGTCGCCAAACAACTGTGAACTCCGAAGAAAGAATAGGCACTGTATGCTCAATTAAATCAAAACGAAAGACACAATCCACATAAACTACTTCACGTGTAACATCTTCAGTATACTGAACACTCAATTCGTGAGCAAATAGGAATCCAATTGGAATAAAATTGTGCGAGGAAAATGTGCAGCCCGCCGGTATATCGTCAGATCTAGATATGTTGGAGGTATTCTCTTCATATGAAACACCCACTGCTGTAACACCGCCCGCTAGTGTAACCCTCTTACACTGGTGGTTGACATCGTCAATATAGAAAATTGTAATTTACAGTATCATCCACTAGTATAACCGGGTTACAGTAATGTGTTGAGCTATAATAGTGGGCGTTATACAGCAACAAGAGTGTTCATTGTATTACATAAGAATTGTTATTAAAAATATCTAAGTGAAGTTATGTAAATAGTGTTTATAGATTAAATCATAATTTTTCTTTCTTGTTTCTTATTAATTGTATTGATGTTTCCCATTGTTTTATCTACGAAAACAACTGTAGCCGATCGTTATATCGTTTTGGATGTATAAATATGACGTGATATGTATTGTATGTTGTAGCATTCTTGACGTCAAACGTGTTTATAGATTTTATTTACTGTAGAACTGTTACTTTGCACTCTAGATATATGTGAATTTTTGTCCCTTATTAAAACAATATTTGAAGTCATAAAGCATGTACACAAAAATGTAAATATATTGTGTGAAATAACTTACTTTTGATATCTTCTGCATTCGTACCTGTAAATATGTTTTTGTGAAATAAGTATCTTATTTGAAGTAGAATAATTTGTTTCGTGCGTGTAAATATTCTAATGTTAAATTAGTAGAACACTTTTAAGATATTGTGCACTCGAACGTTTAAACTAATTTCTCTGTGGAATTTATTATTATCAATTTTACAAAGGAAAATAAGAACGTATTTTGACTATAACTTATCACTTCATTTTGTCACCCAACAGCGTTATAACTACGTATAAATGATTTTGTTTTTTCCTTCCATTCTTTTAATGAAATGTTCTCTATTTAACAACAGTAACGTAAACATTTCATACTAGCCCGCTGATATTTATACACGTATGTAATGGGCGTTGTAACACTATAAAATGAAATGTTTGTGACGGGTTTGAAATACTTTATATACTAAATACTGACCTGCTCTTACATACAATGTATGTAATGCAAGTTATACTTATTGATACTAACCGGCTCATAAAATCAAATGTTTGTAGCATCATTATTACAGTGAATCATAGCTGGCTCATGGGGTAAAATGTACAATGTATGTGCTAAAGTTTTTGATAAAAGAATCACAATGTGAATAAAAAAACCTAGAAAGACTATTTTGTTCTTAATTGTTGTGTTGATAATTACTCACGGGCTGAGTGTTAAAACGAAAGTAAGCATCCGATGAATATCAAAGTGGTAGAGAAGTGTTGTAACCTATCCCGTTAGGTGTTTTTTAAATTAGCATTTTGCCCAATCTACTATCTTTATATTGTTTTTATACCATCCATTTCAACTTTGAAAAATATCTAAAGGATCTCAACGACCCCAAATATTACTCTTCTTCGTAAGTTGTTTTTAGAGAAAATTTGCAAAAATAGGTTTTGGTATGATATTGCGGTTCCGTTACTTTGTTGAGTTTGATTCTGACTGTCAACTCTGCAGGTCTCCTATATTGAGTTTGTTTCTGACTGTCAACTGTGCAGGTCTCCTATATTTTGTTTGATTCTGACTGTCAACTGTGCAGGTCTCCTATATTGAGTTTGATTCTGACTGTCAACTCTGCAGGTCTCCTATATTGAGTTTGTTTCTGACTGTCAACTGTGCAGGTCTCCTATATTGAGTTTGATTCTGACTGTCAACTCTGCAGGTCTCCTATAATGAGTTTGTTTCTGACTGTCAACTCTGCAGGTCTCCTATATTGAGTTTGATTCTGACTGTCAACTCTGCAGGTCTCCTATATTTAGTTTATTTCTGACTGTCAACTCTGCAGGTCTCCTATATTGTGTTTGTTTCTGACTGTCAACTGTGCAGGTCTCCTATAATGAGTTTGTTTCTGACTGTCAACTGTGCAGGTCGCCTATAATGAGTTTGTTTCTGACTGTCATCTCTGCAGGTCTCCTATATTGAGTTTGTTTCTGACTGTAAACTCTGCAGGTCTACTAAATTGAGTTTGATTCTGACTGTCAACTCTGCAGGTCTCCTATATTGAGTTTGTTTAATGTGTCATATTTTTGGGTGTAAGCGAGGTAACTCGAAAATTTCTCAGATATTATTTTTCAATTAAAGAGGAATCCAGCAATCTCTATCCACAGTTATCATTCGTTGTACTTCATTTCACCTCTACCAACGGCAAAGGCGTGCATCTTGGCAAAACGGAATCTTTACCTTTTTAAACAATACAAACGTCCGACTTAAGACTTTCTTTTAAACAATTCATTCTTTGCCGAAAGAAAAGCAAGAAATATTATACACAACAAGCTATAATATTGCATTATATAAACGTAGTCTCCCAACATACGTGTACAATACAATGATAAGGATAAAAATGCATATTATCTATTATTGAATTAAATACCATTTTAATTGATCAAAATATTTTCCTGAATCATTTTGTATTTAGCTTATGCCTTAATTCTATTGTATTTTGGTCCAAAGTAAGCTATCGATTTACAATAAAATCAATTCCAAATCAAACTTGTGATCAAAAATATTCAAACCAGGATACGATAATTGTAATATGAACGAGTTATTACGTACATGGTAAATAACATTAAAACTGATCGCATGAAAAGTTGTCTGATTAATCAAGACAGCCATTGTAAAGGTCTTGCAAAGGTAAAGGCCCCCACTGATCGTTTCATTCTTTTCTAATTACCCGAAAAATCATGAAGTCCTGTTACAAGACACCGATATTTAATATTTTTTTATCAATCTTGCTTACATGATTATATTCATATTTTTAAGATTAGCTTGAGATGAAATCATATCATCATTAAAACCCGACAGTAGGAGAGTGCTTTCCCTTAGAGCATGTACATTTCATTTTCATGTAATGTAAATGATGAGATCTATTTCATTGCTCAGGAACTGTTTGACATTAAAATGATATTTCTGACGCTGACAATGAGTATCTTGAGAACGCTAGCTATCTTTCCTGACCCTATAACCGGTTGATGAGCAGAGCGTGAACGTTGCTGTTAACTCTATATAACAAGTACATGTTTACTCGAACCTTACAAATTAGCATGACTCGTTTGATTCATTGAATGCGTCTTTTTTAGTTGGGAAGTAACACCCAAGAGCGGTTAAGTGTTTAAAAGTCTCATCATCGTCTGTATTATGCAAATAAAATGTAGGGAAGCTAAACGAAACGAATAGTAATTAGAAAAATCTTTTAACAAAATAGGAACGCTGCATAAATCCATTTAATGAAAACAAATTCAAATGCTCTAAACAACCTAATCTATAAAACACACCCTTTTTTAAATTTATACAGTTATTGCTGAGTCAATACGCTTCGATTTTTATTTGCATCTATTTAGAGAAAAAAAAGGAATATATATAAGAGAAAATGAATTCAAATAAGACTACAACAATACGTTTGAAATTATTTGTCTGTTTTTAACTGAAAATTAAGGGAAAGAAAAGATACAAATAAAAATTAATGAAAAGCTACAGAAATACGTCCAATATTAAAGAAGATAATCATTTTAAGTAGTAATAAATTAGTTAGAATTCATAACCGTATACTTGTATGGTAAAAATAAGAAGATAGGATTTTAATGATGGAACGAGCTGAGATTTGATTAGCATAGAGGAAGCCTTAGAGACGCCATGTATACAAATTTAGAGACGCCATGTATACAAATTTGGGAAATGAAAAAAATGCATGAACGTTCGTATTTAAGTGGTAACAGCTTAAGGCTAACTCATATTGAGGGAAGCTTGTAAATTGTCGAGAATGGAAGAATTATGGATGGTGTTTATATTTTTCATCGTTTACTTTTCTCTCTCTATTCAATTTTCTTACGTTTAGCAGATAATGAAAGCAGTAAATAAAAGGTCAGTATGTTGGAATGATAAAACACGCTAATGCTACAACCAACGGAAACATAGCCTGTAGTATTTGTTTAGTCATACAAACCAGTACGGACTTCGTCACAAAATGACACTTTAACATAATATGCGATTCATTCTCCATGAAATTTGAACATCTATAACAAGTCTCCCGTTTTATAAGCAAAGGGGCGGCATATCCGCCATGGAAGGTATGTTTTGGTTGATTAATAATTTGTGAATCAAGGTTGTATTAATATCAAAAATACTTTTTAATTGTCTGTATAACTGCAGTTTGTTTTCACCTTGACCATGCGCTCCTATACGTTACCGTTAGATTTATTGTACATTTCTGTCAGGATTTGGCTCACGATGTCAGTTTATATTTAACCTCTTATAGAATGTAATGTTTGTCTAAGTGACATTAAGGGGATTGAGAGATCGAACACCTCCAGTTTCTCTCACGTGCAATAATTAATTTTAAATCTGTTTAGCCAAATAAAGACGCGTTTGTGTATCAGTGTAAAAGTTACTTCGTGAATATTCATTTAATTAATGGCATACACTAGAATTAATTAATGGACAGCTATATCGGTATGTCTAGACGAGAGGTCATTGACAGTCGTCGTACGCATGGATATTCAGAGAAAGTGTTTTTCTCCTTTCCACGCTACTCCAACAATCCAGGTGGAGTATAAATTGGTCTGGGGTGGATGTTGTAACACATGACAGCTTCAGCACACACGCAGACATATGTACATAGGGAGATATTAGCCAGGTGGCATAGGACTAGTAGTTAGCGCCTGATAATTAAGGCAGCTCCTGCGAATTCCTCAAAATTGTATTGATTAATGTATATATGCTAATTGTATTAATCGTATA